GTTAGCGTAGTGCACCTCACACACGAGTCCGGATAATGCAATTCACACCTTTAGAACTGAACGCGTCGTGCTGACAATGTCGATGGAACTGCAAGACTTCGGTCCGATGAATAAGACTCATGCATTGCCGTGAGATGCTGCAATCATGTCGTGCAGAGGGACTGTCGTAGCACCCTCTTAAAGTAGTGCACCTCTTGCACAATTCCAACGAGCAAGGCTTGAAATCGCTCTGACATCAAGAGACATACTCTGCCGAGATATTATGCCAACAGCCACCCTAAGGAAACGGGTCACGCCCCGGGAAACGAGGACTGAAGCAAGGCCAGCGTTTTCGGTACGGCACATATACGTCTGTTAGCGTAGTGCACCTTATACACGAGTCCGGATCGTGCGATTCACACTTATTAGGACCAAACACATCTTGCTGACGATGTCGGTGGATATGCCAGATCACGGTCCGATGAATAAGACTCATGCATTGCCGTCAGATGTTGCCATCATTGGCGGACGGACTGCAGTAGCACCCTCTTCAAGAAGTACACCTCTTGTATAATTCCAATTCGCGAGACCTAGAAACCACTCTGACATCCAAAGACGTTCTCTGCCGAGATAATATGCCAACAGCCACGCTAAGCAAACGGACCAAGCCCCGGGAAACGAAGACTGAAGCTAGGCCAGCGTTTTCGGTACGGTACATATACGTCTGTTAGCGTAGTGCACCTCACACGCGAGTCCGGATCATGCGATTCACACTTATTAGGATTAAACACATCTTGCTGACGATGTCGGTGGATATGAAAGACTTCGGTCCGATGAATAAGACTCATGCATTGTCGTCAGATGTTGCCGTCATTGGCGGACGGACCGCAGTAGCACACTCTCAAGTAGTACACCTCTTGTATAATTCCAATTGGCGAGACCTAGAAACCGCTCTGACATCCAAAGACGTACTCTGCCGAGATAATATGCCAACAGCCACCCTAAGCAAACGGACCAAGCCCCGGGAAACGAAGGCTGAAGCAAGGCCAGCGTTTTTGGTACGGTACATATACGTCTGTTAGCGTAGTGCACCTCACACACGAGTCCGGACAATGCGATTCACACTTATTAGAACTAAACACGTCGTGCTGACAATGTCGATGGAAATGCAAGACGTCGGTCCGATGAATAAGACTCATGCATTGCCGTGAGATGCCGCCATCATGTCGTGGAGAGGGACTGTCGTAGCACCCTCTTAAAGTAGTGCACCTCTTGTACAATTCCAATGAGCAAGGCCTGAAATCGCTCTGACATCCAGAGACATACTCTGCCGAGATAATATGCCAACAGCCACCCTAAGAAAACGGACCAAGCCCCGGGAAACGAAGACTGAAGCAAGGCCAGCGTTTTCGGTACTGTACATATACGTCTGTTAGCGTAGTGCACCTCACACACGAGTCCGGATCATGCGATTGACACTTATTAGGACTAAACACATCTTGCTGACGATGGTATAAGGTACGCTGCGCTTATAAATATATATGTACCGTACCGAAAACGTTGGCCTCGCTTCGGTCTTCGGTTTCCGGGGCTTGGTCCGTTCCCTTAGAATTGCTGTTCACACGTTATTTCGGTACAGTGTGTCTTTGGATGGCAAAGCCGTTTTTAGGTCTCGCCAACGAATTATGCAAGAGGCGCACTACTTTAAGAAGGTGCTACTACAGTCTGTCCGCACATGATGGTGACATCCCACGACAGTGCATGAGTCTTATTCATTGAATCAAACCATTGCAGCTCAACCGACATTGTCGGCACAATGTGTTTATTTCTACTTAGTGTGAATCGCGTTGTAAGGGCTCCTGTTTCAGGTGCACCGCACGACTAAACGTATATATACCGTGCCTAAACCGTTGCCTTTGTTTCGGTCCTCGGTTCCCGGGGCTTGGCTTTGTTTCTCAGGGTTCGTGTCGGGATGTTATCTCGGCGGGGTGTGTCTTTGCCTTTCAGAGTGGTTTTTAGGTCTCGCCAATCGGAATTATACAAGAGGTGTACTACTTTAAGAGGGTGCTACTACAGCCTGTCCGCACATGATGGCAGCATCTCACGGCACTGCATCAGTCTTATTCATCGGACCGAAGTCTCGCAGTTCCATCGTCATTGTCAGCACGATGTGTTTAATTTCCATAAGTGTGAATCGCCTGATCTGGACTCGTGCATGAGGTGCACTGCGCTAATAGACGCATATGTGCCGTACCGAAAACGCTGGCCTAGCTTCAGTCTTCGGTTCCAAGGCTTGGTCCGTATCCTTAGGATTTTTATTGGCATATTATCTCGGTAGAGTATGTCTTTGGATGTCAGAGCGGTTTTTAGGTCCCGCCAATTGGAATTATACCGGAGGTGTACTACTTGAAGAGGGTGCTACTGCAGTCCGTCCGCCAATGATGGCAACATCTGACGGCAATGCATGAGTCTTATTCATCGGACCGTGATCTGGCATATCCACCGACATCGTCAGCAAGATGTGTTTGGTCCTAATAAGTGTGAATCGCATGATCCGGACTCGTGTGTCAGGTGCACTACGCTAATAGACGTATATGTACCGTACCGAAACGCTGGCCTTGCTTCAGTCTTCGTTTCCTGGGGCTTGATCCGTTTCCTTAGGGTGGCTGTTGGCATATTATCTCGGCAGAGTATGTCTCTGGATGTCAGAGCGATTTCAAGCCTTGCTCGTTGGAATTGTACAAGAGGTGCACTACTTTAAGAGGGTGCTACGACAGTCCCTCTGCACGACATGATTGCAGCACCTCACGGCAACGCATGAGTCTTATTCATCGGACCGAAGTCTTGCAGTTCCATCGACATTGTCAGCACGACGTGTTCAGTTCTAAGGGTGTGAATCGCATTATCCGGACTCGTGTGTGAGGTGCACTACGCTAACAGACGTATATGTACCGTACCGAAAACGCTGGCCTTGCTTCAGTCTTCGTTTCCCGAGGCTTGATCCCTTTCCTTAGGGTGGCTGTTGGCATATTATCTCGGCAGAGTATGTCCCTGGATGTCAGTGCGATTTCAAGCATTGCTCGTTGGAATTGTACAGGAGGTGCACTACTTTAAGAGGGTACTACGATAGTCCCTCTGCACGGCATGATGGCAGCATGTTACGGCAAACGGAGTAGTCATATTAATTGAATCCAAGTGTTGTAGTTTAAGCGACAATGTCGTCACGATGTGTTTGGTCCTAATAAGTGTGAATCACATTATCCGGACTCGTGTATGAGATGCACTGCGCTAATAGACGTCAATGTACCGCACCGAAAACGTTGGCTTGGCTTCGGTGTTTGGTTCCCGTGGCTTGGTCCGTTTTTTAAGACTGCTGGAAATGCTTCAGTTCCGCCGACATTGTTGGGTTTTTCTCTGTGCTGTCTGTTTGGAAACATCAATTCGAGACACGAATGTGAAAAACTGGGATACTTTTCTTGATTGCACGAATGTACGTAATTTGGTGCTTATGTTGCCCTTTTAGTACATGCTATACGTCGTCGGCTGTCCGCGTGTTAAAAATCATATGACCTGTTTGTGGCCGAAATTATTATATTATCAGATGGTTATTTCTTGAAGATGATAGGCAATCATGCGAGCATTGTGAGTAGCAGTGGTCGAAACGACGTAGTGTATAATGTTAATTGCATGCTCTTTATTTTTGGTGCTAAAGATGTCGTTTGGATTGTGTGATTTCAAAGTTGAGCAATCCTGCTAACGCGAGCTGGTTGAGCCCGTGCCGCACTGCGCGTAAAACGCTCGCGGTGGAGATTTTTCTTCTTCTAAAGAAGGTGAAGTACTTGAAGAATACCCATTGTTTCAAGGGATCATGATATTGCAAAAGTAATTTGAAGCAATTATAGGCTCAATGTTTTCAGAAAAAAACTCATTTGTCAGTTCAATGCAATTTGGCCTGGCCTGAGTTGAGCACATGTGTGCTGCAGGCTCACTAAACAAATGCAGTCAGGAAAATGCAGCATAAGTGCTGCCAGTAAAGGCAGTATAAGTATATGTTATATGTTGACTTATTTCACCATTTTTGTTTTGTTTTTTGTGCAGTGCAATCTGGCTGGTGCTTCTATTTGTCGCTGCTTTACAGCTGAATTACCTTATCACATAGGGTTAAGAATTATTACTCTAGGGTAGCAAATAGCAGGATCAGATAAGCACTATGCCTAAATATGAAATGTGGGGTCAGAGAGTGTTAGCAAACTATGTTTTTAGCATTTTTTGTTATTATTTTCAATATAGATGGCATTTTGTGGCAAGGTATTGTATAGTTAGCACATGCTATTAGTGTTTTGGAGTGGTTCAAGACATCCTTATGTTATTGAATCAGAACTGTTGGATAAATGCCCTTTGTGTACTTCTTGCTGAAAATATCCATTGAATATGGAGGTGACCTACTATGTTGCCACTTGCCATTGTACTATGACTGGCTCAAACCATGCAATACATATGCTAATGTCCCTTTCATGGAGGTGAATTTTTATACTGAACCCTTTTATGGCATGAATTTCTGGTTTAGTACCCACACTAAGGGCATGGAGCAACTCGAGACTACCCCCATCATTGGGCAGGCACACCAGCCAGGATATGGGGACAGACTGAAGCAGCACATGTCACCTCTTAGATCATTATGATCAATATTTTGTGACATCTGATACCATGGAGTCAAAGCATTATATGCTCATCAGATCCTAATGTTTTTTCAGTCACAACTACAGTCCCCTGCACCTGCCAGTATGTCTGCTGAACAAGATGACATGCCAGACTTGGAAGAGGTATCAGAAGTTGCCTCCCCTCCTTCTGCTTCTCTTGCTGTTGCCCATAGAGGAGTGCCAGCATCAACTGCCAGCAACCAGGCAGCTGCTGATGAAGATGAGGATGACAGTGATGGAGAGGAGGACTGGGAGGAGATGGAGGAGTCAGCTGCCCCTGTGGTGGCCACATGTCTGTTCTGCCCACTCCAGCTGCCGGTGATGGATGTGCTGACTCACTGTCAGCAGCAGCACGACCTGGACCTGGCCGCACTCGTGACCAGGCACGCACTCGACTGCTTCGGCTACATCCGGCTGGTGAACTTTGTGCGCAGCATGGCCGTGTCGCCGGGCGAGCTGCGCCGACTGCCGGGCGCCTCCTGGGCCGACCACAAGTACATGAAGCCTGTCATCGAGTGCGATCCTCTCCTGATGATTGGTGAGGCACCAGGGTCTGGGTGGAGTGAGCCAGAGGCACTGACTGGGTGGATCAGGTCCGGGTGGAGTGGGCCAGAGGTGCCATCTGGGTGGAGTGAGCCAGAGGCACTGTCTAAGTGGATCAGGTCTAGGTGGAGTGAGCCAGAGGCACTGTCTAAATAGATCAGGTCTGGGTGGAATGAGCCAGAGGTGCCATCTGGCAGGACCAGATCTGGGTTGGAATGAGCCAGAGGTGCCATCTGGGTGGATCAGGTCTGGGTGGAGTGAGCCAGAGGCACTGCCTAAGTGGATCAGGTCTGGGTGGAGTGAGCCAGAGGCACTGTCTAAGTGGATCAGGTCTGGGTGGAATGAGCCAGAGGCGCCATCTGGCAGAATCAGATCTGGGTTGGAATGAGCCAGAGGTGGCATCTGGGTGGATCAGGTCTGGGTGGAGTGAGCCAGAGGCTCTGTCTGGGTGGATGAGGTCTGGGTAGAGTGAGTCAGGAGGCCATCTGCACGGGCCAGGTCCGGATGGAGTGAGCCAGGGGTGCTGTCTGGGTGGGTCAGGTCTGGGTGGAGTGAGCCAGAGGCACCACCTGGGTGGATCAGGTCTTTGTGGAGTGTGCTCACTATTCCATCCTACCAGATGGCTGTGCATGACCAGATCTGCTCACAGTAATGGTGCTTGTGCTGCATGCTAATAGAATGTAATGGTGTTCTGGAATTTGTGTGTAAGCAATCATGTAGCTCTGGTGTTTATATCTCAGTTTTCTAGTCCTCTGGGAAGTAAAGCATAATCTTCTACCTTCAGGCCCTGATCCTGGTGAGACAAAGTCTTCGCGTTTCCCACAAGGATTTTCCTCTCATTCTGACCCATCTCGTTTTGTATGCCCTGACTCTAAACGTCGCCCCCATCTGCATCACCAAAATTGCCACGGCCATCCGGCAGACCTGGAGGACCTTGTCGGCGCACCGGCCGCCGCACCGCCACCTGCCGACGACGCGTCCCGCCACGTGGTCAACTACGAGGGCGACTACGTGACCCTGTCGGTGGTGCATTACGAGCAGCTGCAGCACCAGCTGGCCGAGCTGCGCCGGCAGCTGCAGGCCAGCCAGGACCGTGACGAGCTCCTGCTGCAAGGTGACGAGATCAGACAGGCGCCAGGTCGTGACGAGCACAGGCATGAGTCGTGACGAGCACAGGCGCCCGGTTTTGACGAGCACAGGCGCCAGGTCATCACGAGCACAGGCGTGAGGTCGTGACAAGCACAGGCACCAGGTCATGGCAGGCATAGGGCCAAGTCATGACGAGCACAGGCGCCAGGTCATTTCCCCAGCATGCACCAGCCTGTGTTTCGGGCAGATGTTGGATCATGTTTAGGCAGACAAGTGGTGTCTCGGCCGTATGTCAGGTAGCATCCTCGGCTGGCGATAGGCCTGGTCCTTGCTGAGGTCATGTTTTGTCCCCAGCAGACACAAGGTATTTCCATATCAGATACGACGTAGTGTCTGCTGTGATGTTCCTCGGTCGGCGCCATCGTCTTCGCCTGCTGTTTGCTCTTCTCTCTCCGCATATGACCGTGACCTATCGCTGTGCCTGACCTATGACCTGACTATCGCTGACCTGACTATGACCTGACCATCGCTGTGCTTTCGTTCCATGTGATATTTGAGCCTGCCATTCTGGCAAATCGCCCACGCACGCTTTGCATCGGCTGCCGTCGTTGACTTCGGTTGCCTCGGCCGTCGCCAAGACGTACGAACCACAAGTTGGATGAACGGTTGCCAGCGCGACGTGAGCGCTCTAGCCTGACGGTCCCACGTTGACAGACATGGCCACGATGCGGGGCACGATGCATCAGAATCCTGCGGCTGGACGAGGAGCCGGAGCCGGCGCCCGTGTCGAACGCCACCGCCGCTGGCGACAGCGACAGCTACTTCGAGTCGTACGCCCACTTCGGCATCCACCACGAGATGCTGTCGGTGAGCGGCTGGCTGGCGTGCACGTACGCCGCTGCACGAGCGCGCACGTACGCCGCTGCCCGAGCGCGCACGTACGCCGCTGCCCGAGCGCGCACGTACGCCGCTGCCCGAGCGTGCACGTACGCCGCTGCCCGAGCGTGCGGCGCGACTTCAGCATAGCGTGTGACACGCGCTTTTTGTTTCGACTGTCGTGGATGATTTGTAATCCGATTGTTTTGGTGGGGATGCCGAGATTTCATCGCGCCATGGCCGCACCCGGCGATGGGCCGGGTCGGGTGGTGCGATGCTGGCGCTTTTTTGCGTGACAGCGACCGTACCTTTGCGTCTGGCCCGGGGAAGCTCTTCGCTTTAAATATGTATCTATCGGAGAGGTGATCGTGCTCTTGTAAGCGCACTTTGTCCCATCGCGAATCACGCACATTGGTGTTGCTCTGCGTGGAAATTTGTCGCGCTTGTTAGTGCGTCATCAGTCCTGGGGCGATGCGCTGCCGTGGACTCGAGCTGTTGAAAGGTCAGGGTAATTGCGTTTTAATTCCCATTGACCTTGGTCTGTTTTGTCTCCCTTTGTTGTTGTCGGGGAGGCAGAAAGAGCAAAGCGCATGAGCTGCTCGTCTGACGTTCTCGGCGTGCGTTCGCGCGGACTCGAACCGGACGTCACCTCCACGGCGTCTGCGCGGACTGACCTGCGCGAGCCGTGGCCGCCGGCAGGACCGGGTGCGGACCGAGGCGTACCGGGGACGCCATCGGCCGGAACGCGCTGCCGTGCGTGCGCGGGCCGCTCGGTGCTCGACCTCGGCTGCGGCAACGGCCATCCTCTCCATGTTCTGCGCGCGCGCCGGCGCCGCCGAGGTGGTCGGCGTCGACCGGTCCGAGGTCATCTACGACGCCATGGATATAGTCAGGTGGGCGGTGGCGGTCAGCCGGACGCCTGGAGGGGGGTGGTGGGGGGGGGGGGGGGGGGCGTCTTGGGAATGCCACATATTACGGTGTTCATAGTTGAGGCATCGTCTTAGCTGATAGCGTTGTGGCCTAGGAAAAGCGCGGAAGGTACTATATTCCTTGGTCGGTGTTTATTCAAAACATGTTGAGAAACTACATGCTATTGATTATGTATGTACCATAGGACTAAGATATCATTGGTTAACTTGTTGAAAGGACCGGCCCTTTAATCTGCTAAGCTGTTCGCCCCAGAGAAGAATGACTCGATTAGAGGGCGTCTCCCAGTCTCGCAGGTCGTGACTGTTCGCTTGACACTGTGAAACAAACTGGCGTGGCCCACGGCTCAAGCAGACTGCTGAGTTGCTGACGTTGTTGGTCGGTATTGTGACGGGCTATCGCGCCGTAGCCGGCTGATCGTGACGCCGGCCTTGACGTGCCGGGAGCAGGGTATGCCGTCTTTCTTCGGCAGGGAGGGCTGTGTTTGTGGCGGAGTGATGAGTGGTCCACGTTGAGGCTCCGCGCTCTCTGTAGAGAGGGCCGTGCCTGTGGCGGAGTGATGAGTGGTCCACGTTGAGGCCCCACGTCCCCCGCCAGTATCCAGGTCACGTGACTCTCCTGTGCTCCTCAGGGAGAACGGTCTCTCCGACGTGGTGAAGTTGGTGAAGGGTCGGCTGGAGGAGATGGTGCTGCCCGGCGGACGCGACCGGCGCTTTGACGTCATAGTGTCCGAGTGGATGGGCTATTTCCTGCTGTTCGAGGGCATGCTGGACTCGGTGCTGTACGCGCGGGACCACCTGCTGGCCGACGGCGGCACCCTCATGCCCAACCGCTGCACTATGAGCTTGGTGGCCGTATCCGACATGGGTCAGTCAATCGCACGGCTCAATGGGCGGAGGTTTAGTGCTGGGTATTCAGTAGATTGTAGGCGAACATTAGGCGTTGGGACGTTGATACCCAATTGCCATCCGCGGGCCGTTTTTAACCATCGCGTGGAAAGTAATCCGACTGCGTTGGCGCCTGTGAAGCTTTTGAGCTGATGTCTGTAATCCTGATCGGCCAAAACTGTTCAGAGATGGAGTTTTTTTTTGTTGTTCCTACGCGTAGAGTTTTTCGTTTTTATTAGGCTTGCATGCCTCACTGTATTGACGCCGCAGCACTGACCTGGGCCCGGGTGCTCGCCCGCAGAACGGTACGACCATCTGCTGTCGTTTTGGTCGGACGTGTACGGCTTCCGGATGAGCTGTCTGCGGGCAGAGGTGCTGCAGGGAGGCCAGTGTGGAGGTGGTGCCGGCTGCCGCCATCTGCTCCGACCCCTGCCAGATCAAGCAGCTCGACCTCAACACGATCACGTGAGTGCCGGCCGAGCGCCCGACGCTGGGCCGGGCCGGGCCGGGCTCGAACTACGCCGCCACGCTCGATGGCTGACTGAAGACTTCTCTACGGGCCGTCTGTGTCTGGGATATTCGTTTGGATGATGCCAGTGACTGATACACCTTGTTGTGGGTAGGCACAGATGCGGAGTGACGCGACAACTGGAATTCCACCGCGCGGGGCCGAATTTCGAACACCTGCTCGCACCGTGTTTCATCTCGTTGGATGCGTTGCCTCACGCATTACAAAACGGTCGAAAAATCGCATGTATTCCTTAGAACCTCGCAACGGTTCCGCACGTGAGTTACTCTATCGCATGTCATCAGACCACGGGATAAAATCGGTTCTTTTACCCAGGTGCCATGCCGAGCCCTTGACCGGCAGCGCTTGTCTGTTGGTGCGCGCGCGCGCGCGCGCACATGCTTGTGCGTGTGCGTGTGCGTGTGCGTGTGTGTAAGTGCTTGCGCACCGTTTACCCTCCGACCACCGCCGGCTTTCCGCCCGTGTGCCGCAGTGTGGCCGACACCGAGTTCACGGCGCCGTTCTCGGTGCGTGTGACGCGCGCGTGCCGCGTAACGGCGCTGGTCGGTTACTCTTCGACACCCACTTCGATCTGCCGATCGCGGTCGGCTTCAGCACGGGGCCGCAGGCGCCGTCCACCCACTGGAAGCAGACCGTGTTCTACCTAGAGCAGCCGGTCAGCGCTGACGCAGGTGCGACTGGGATGGCGCGCGGGAGGGACCGAGGGCACCCAGGGATGGCCAGTGAGGGAAGGGGGAGGGGAGGGGGGGGGGGGGGGGGGGGGGGGGGGGGGGGGGGGGGAGACAGGCGAAGCCAATGCAAGTTCCAGCTAGTTGTGTGGTTACTTGTCGCTCGTTTCTGAGAACACATGTGCCAGGGGATGTGATGTGCAGACATTAGGTCTGTGCAAGGTTTGGAAAGGATTGGTAGGGGTTATGTGCTGCGGTTGGGCGTGTTCATCAAAGTTGTTGATGTGGTGTTTTCTGCGCCGTGAGCTGAGGTAAGGTCCATTGTTCATAAGGTCCATGTTGTTCATAAGGTCCATGTTTTTCGGTGCGCACGTAACATCTGGAGACGAGCGGCAGTCAGCACGGCGCTGCACGGTGTGCCGACCGATAACCTCTGCTTCGCAGGCGACACGATAGATGGCACGCTGTTCTGCGGCCGGGACCGCAAGGACCCGCGCTCCCTGCGCGTGACACTGACCACCGGCGGCCGGAGCCAGTCCTACCGCGTCTCATAGCGGCGGCTCGACGTCCGGCGCTCAGGCAGAGGTCGGTGAGCTGGTAGCCCTCCGCCCGTCCGTCCCAGCTGGCGCCGGCGACGACGCAGAAGGCAGGCTGTGCATTTGTATCGTTGTTTGTCGTGCAATACAAATCACGGTCCGTCGCGCCGCGTCTGCCGTTGGAATGGACGGTGGGGAAAACGCTGAGGACGGGGCGGAGTGCGTGGCGTGGGTGTCAAGCGACTACACAGCGAAAGTCTCGGTTTATACCGGGCATGAAGCGAACTCCAGCTTTGTTTCAATGTACATAGGCTATGTCGAGAGATAGATCAGTTTGAAACGCTGATAGCAAGGTGCCATTTTTGTCATCAAGCGTTTTGGGTAGTTCTCATGTGGGGATGACAGCGGAGACGGTTCGGATGACAGTTGCCGGTGTTGGAAAAGGTGCGGAAGCAACTTCGTGGTTGCTCGTTTAACTGACGGCACTAAGCAGCGCAATGCTATTGCAAGGAAGCGAATGGCTGCCATTAGTTTTCTGGCAGTTTTGCCTATTGATTCTGTCAGCCAGACTGAATGAAATTCTGGTCTCGCGGGAAGATCGATAACTACGAGCTCATGCATTTTTACAGTCGTGCCTTAAAACAACCAGCGACTACAAAGGTCACTTTTGCTTCACTTCAGCTTCATCCATAGGCGGTTTTAGCACGAACGTGCCAGTGGAACTAAGCGGTTGTGGTATGAATCATCGAGGGACCGACTAACACGCTAGAGTGTCGAGTGCTTGATAAAAATAGCCCGGGTTTCATATCTCAGTCGCTTGATCTAGCAAAAACGACGACGGCTTTCCAATTCAGATATGCAATTCGAAAATTTATGTGAGGTGGACTGAAAAGACTAAGCAGTGGAAGGTTCGCTACCCGAGCGGGCTTCCAGAGCAATATAGCAGCCGCGCGAAACTGAATTATCGAGCAACTTCCGGAAAACACCTTATTATTTGAATAGACGTGGCCATTCAATGTTTGTAATTTAACTCTGGCACTAGCCAAGCGTGCCATCTGAGCGGGAAGCGCTAATAAGTAGCAAGCGAAGCGTACATTTTGGGATCCGTTGCCCGTGTCCTGCGGCTGTGGCGACAAACGCCCGGTCCCGGCCGGGACAGTGGCTCAGAGCGACACCACCGGCCAGCTCCGCGCGCTGGCGCCACGCCCCGCCCGCCGACTGACGGCAAAAACTGCACACGAGAATGTAACCCTCGGCCGTCTTCCCTAAAAAGCCTCGAAGGCAGCGACGATCGGGACATCAGCTGACTGAGGCGAACATGTGTTGGTCGGAACGAAGCAAGTCGACTTGATTGCGGTATTTGAGATAAAATGACTTTTCGGGTTTCTGCCGTGTTCGTAGCCACCAACGCCCTTGCTAGCGTCCGTCGGTTTCTGGCGACGCCGTGACTACGCCGACGGATCGCTCTTGGTTGTTGTTGTTTTTTTGCAGGGGCGGTCAGTTTTGGGACAAGCGGCGCCAATTCAACCACGCCGCGGTGGTCTGAGGAATGACGACGCAGTTGTTGTCCATTGTCAGAGATGGACATCGATCTAAGCCTGGCCGGATCAGAAATGGTTCTGGAAATAAAGCAGGGACCCGTGATGGTAATCGAGCTTCAGGTTACACATCGACGACATGCTTTACATACTTCATGCTTAAGGTTACACATAACATACGAGACAAATACGACTTTGCTATGGATGAGGCGGTGGGTAAGATTTATTTAGGTCACGTCTCATTGCAACACATGTCCGTGCCAGTGTAATCCCTGAAGATAGGCAGCCCTGACAATCCCTTACGGATCTGAATCTGCATCTCTGACGATGCCTCACGTATCTGAATCTACAACCCCTGACCATCCGCTACGGATCTGATGGACTCAGACTTGGACTCAGACTCAGACTCAAGCTCCTTTGATTCAGACTAGGGCACTGCTGCTGTGCACCGACTGGCTTCGGCTTGTGGTTAGAAATCCAAATCATTAATGTAAGGAATGCATGATCATTAGTGTTAAGCTCCTGAAATTATCGCGATAACTCGTCCCGCCACCCTCGCGCTCCGTTTGATTGACCCAGAAGACGGACATTCAATCAAAGGCATAAACACTCGGGCGTCTTTGACGTCAGTCTGGAGGGGCGGCGCACTGCTCCTCAGGCCAGTGGCCTGTGTCAGTCCCAGCGCGTCCGACTGACCGGCCACCCGCCATCTGAGGGACAGGAGCTCATCACACACGCGGCGGAACACAAACTCCAGCCCGCGGCCTGCCCCCCCCCCCCCCGCACAGTCGCCGGAGCGGTTTGGCCCGGATTCCCTTGTTCTCGGACGGCCGCGCCACATCGACTCCCTTTGAGGCCAGCGTTTTTGCTAGCCAGTGGGCCGCCGGTGGAAATAGATTTGGCCGCTCGGCTGCGTACCGACTCTGAGCGACCTTGTCTGAGAGCAGCTTCGGTGGGCGTGTTCGCCGCGCTAAACGTCTGGACGGCGTCCAAAGCCAGCCGGGGGCCGGTGACCCCGGCTTGGGCACCGACACGTGTTGATCACGTGACCTGAGGTGGTGCATCGGGGTCGCGGGGCAAAAGGAACGGCTGGGCCGTTCTCCTCCATGAGACAACCCCGGCGTTGAGTATTTTGAGAAGCGTGTTACCACGTACCTGGTGATCCTGCGGCCCCGGAGAGCCTCCCTGACGCGGGGGCTTTGGTCGCTGCCCGCGCTAGCCCGCTCACCGGCTGCGCCCCTGCCGTGACTTTAAGACCTCATACCACTGGAGGGTGAATCAACCACACTAGCTTGACACAGAGATTGGCCTGTCATATATCATACGCCTGGCCGTCGCCCGCTATCTGTCAGAGAAGTCAGCTGGTGCTGCAACCGACTGTCCCGCAAGCAGAGGCTCGTTGCTGACTGTTCAGATAGTGGGGTCACGTACCGGCTGGTACATGCATTTTCCAACTGTTTCGAATGCGAAAATCATCGCGAGCCTTATCCTGTCGCTCAGAAACAGGCTGACGGCGATGTGCCCTAGTTAAGTCATCTTTCTAGCCTTACGGACTCTCGTGCGTCAACTCTAGCTC